CCCAAAAAAAAAAGTTTCCCACAACAAGGTCCTACGTGTGCGAGCCTGTTTCCTGGCGGGCAGGAAAGCTTCCCAGTGCGCTCGCTAGACGAGGAATTTTATCGCGCCGACAACGAGAAGGAACAAAAAGCCAGCGTTGCTCGTTTGAAACAACACTGAAAAGTCCCGTCGGAACGCCGTCAAAAAGTACGAGCGAAAGCACTCTCTCTTTCTCCGGATCGAAGAGGAAGAGGGGATGACACCGAGAACAAAGGCAAACCTGCGCCGACTCGGTCGCAACGAGAGCAGACGTTTGAGGAGGACGCCGCCGCACTTTGACGGATGTGAAGCCGAAGTGGGCGCAAGATAAAAGGGCCACGCTTGGGGGCCGCTTTCCGCTCATTCGGGTCGTGCCGCTCGACAAAGCGAGAAGAGAAGAGAAGCGCGTCCGCTTGCCTTTGGAAAGAAAGGAAAGCGCCTCTCCGCCCGTGAGAGCCGTGCAGGACGACTTTGGTTCACCTTGAGCGTGGGGGCGGGGCATCGGGGGACAAGTCAGACTTCCGCTTTCGGAAGTCGCATCAGAGACCCAACTCCAAACCGGCCACCAAACTTTTAGCGTCCCGCGCGGAAGCTGCAATGCGGGGACGAACGAGGCTCAAGTCGAGCCGGTGAATTTTGAGCCTTCTGAGCTCGCCGGAATCGGAAGCTCCTTTCACACTCGATGGATTTGGTGTACGGCCGCAAGACGAGAGTCAAGCCAAGAGTTTGCCGGCCTCCGACTTAACCGGAGAGAAGCCGAATATCGCCGGTCGCCATCCTCGACTCGCCGGCCACACCCCTTTGTGTTCCAAGTGATGGTCGATGTCACGCCGACATCGTCGGTCTCGCAACATCCGAATGCGCAAAGCCGCGGCGGTGGCAGACGCAGGACCCGCCGGTCGCCGCGCTAACGTTGAAAACTCTCCTTCCCTGCCGGCTAGGCTAGAACAGGCGTTCCGGATACGGTGTCGGTCGAGGGTTTGCCGAACCTTTCGGCCCGAGTGATGGCAGCCCGCCCGCGCCAGCTGACGCTTTTTCCGTGCGGCACCGTCGGCAGATTGCGCGGACATGAAATGAGGCTGCCCTGCAGATCGCGCGCATTCGCTTTGGTGAAGGCAAGCGAAGCAAAAACTAAAAGTGAGCCCGAGCAATTGTTGTGGGGGAACTCGGACGACTCGGTGTTGGGCGGGCGGTAGCCGAGGGACCCTCTCGGGATCACGCACGGTTGCGCGTTGTTTTCTTTTGAACCCGAAGCTAGCTAGCCTTGGCTCAACTTGGAGTCCATGCGATCAAATCACAATCAATGTGTTCCACGACCTGTGCTAACGTTTTTGCACCCGGAGGAACAAAAAAAAAAATGCTCAATTAGCGACGTATCCCCTTTCCTCGTCTCGATTTATTCATTCTTTAGTTTGCTTTGAGGCTGGCGCAGGACACAACGCATTCGTCTTCTCTGATTCTCGTCAATACGGCCATGGATGGGACGTATTTTGCTTCTGCGAATATAGCCCCATTCTATTGGACGACCGCTTGCTTTTTCTTTTTCTTCCACACTGCGGGCAGGTCGGCACACCTGAAGCGTACTCATAGGCAGTGACTCTTCAGTGTGCAGCTACAGCACACTTTGAGAATCACATGCACAGGAAGCTGTATCGATCGCCAACACTCCGCTCTATTGTTCGCGTATCAATAAGAATGTGCCGGCTGTTGTTTATTTAGCCATCGACCGGCCGGGGGTGGACACGGAGCCCGCGTGGCCGGGAAGCGGCGCTCACTGACGAGAAGTCCTTTTTTTTTTGTTGCAACCTTGCTCGCCGTTTCCAGCAAACGCCGAATGGTTGAAGTTCGCGCCAAGATTGCCCAAAGCGCGTGCATTGCCTCTTCAGGTGTGTTTACCAAGCCGTTATCGAGCCGGGGCGGGCGCTTGTTGGACTTGACAAGTAAGAAAAGTATTTGCTAGAGAGGGTTTTTTTTTCTTAAAATTATACCTTAAATACTTAAAAAAAAAAAAAAAACTTTTAGTTGCTCTGACATATTTTTGTTTGTTGTCGCACATTCTAAACCAAAATGTCCTTCATTTATTTCGCACTATAGCATTTTATTTTGGTCACTTTTAGTCGACCTTGATCATATTTAGTTCCCCACTGAATTACTTGATTAAAAATCATAACGGAGTGAATCAATGAGCCCCCTCGTAGGTGTATGTAGGATGAAAAAAGGAATCTTCGCGCTTCGGGACCCAGAAAGGCCCCAAGCTAAAAAAAAAAAAAAAAAAAAAAAAGTCCACCGGACTTTGGAGTGCGGCGCAATAGCTCCCTCTTGTGGAAAAGGCGCCAATGCACAAATGTAACCAAAAAGCAGCCCGAGTTTTTTCCCCGGTCAACTTGTCTCAAGGTGAAACCGTGGACATATCGTGGATCCGGTCGTACTTTTGTCTTTTTTGGGGCCCGATAAGCAGTTCGAATACCCCAAGATAAGTTTGGTCAGGCCCACAAATGACAGGATGGAGGCCTTGACCCGAGGTCACTGCATGCACATCCCAGGTTACTTCTCATCTCCCTCCTCCGTGGGGTTTTCCCTCATCTGATCCGTGAAATCGCCTCCTGTTACCTTCTCCAGCCGGCAACAGCGATTAGTTGACCCTCTAAATGAGAACCAAAAATGTCCTGGCGTTATTTGACAGTCATGTTTTGGGGGGATTTGTCAAGCAGTTTTAAAATGGGCCAATTTGACTTGTGTCATGTTGACTACTCCGCAATGCCAGACACCACACACCCCCTTTTTTATTGGGGGGGGGGGGGGGGGAACAAGGGTTATTTCACAAAACTTAAATTTAAAAAATGGATTTGACCTGGGGAAGTCTAAAAAATGGTTTGTATCATATTATTCCCTCCATTTGTAGCCCTTTCCTTTTATTTTGTATTTCTAATCACTTTACCATCGTCTATTTTGTACTCAAGTCATCTGTACTTCTAATGAAGTAGGCTACAGCGAGATTGCCGCATCTGCGTGACTGTTTAAAGATGTCAAGCAAATTGAATCGCTTTGAGCACACAACTCAAACCAATAGACGACAAGTGGGGAAAAAAAAGAGTCCAGTGGGGGAGGGGGGAGAGTCCGGCGGTCTTTGCAATGTGCTGACATTGAAATAGCTGCGACCGAGCGTCACTTTGACACGGTCACATGTCAAACAACGAGACAACAATGTCGGGATTACGGTAAGAACGCTTATGTGGCAGAAATCCGTTTCCATCAAACCTGCGCGGATCAAACGACCACGTGACGCGCGCCCAAATGCCCCAAATGCCCAAAGTGCATCCTGAGCCCGAGCAGATAGACCAAGACCTCATTGATCCCCACGGAGAGCTCACACATGTGAGCGCACGCTTTAAAAATAAAAGCCTCCGCCTCCTCCTCCTCCTCTTCGTGGTAATCCTGTTCGTTTTTAATCTAGCAGCCAAGTGCCTTTTAAATCCGCCCCCCCCCCCTGCCCCCCTCCGGCCCTTGGCAGTCAACATGCTTGCTAAGGAGGAGGGAAAAGAAGTCCAAAGAGACGTTCTGATTTTCCAACGGGGAAAGCGCCTCGTCAGTTGGCTATCTGGGCTAACTTTGGCGGCTAACTTTCAAAGCGGCCTTCTTGTCTTGCTCATTTCTTGACAATAATATCTTCTTCTACGTGGCCCCACTAGCCGGAACTCGTTTTGACTGCACTTCCCCTCCCAACTTTTAGCAAAGGGGCTGCGATGGGACGTTTACGTTGGAAGTGACGACGGCTGGCATTCATCCGTGCCTTTTCGGAAGCGTTTCATCCTCACCCGGGCCGCGGGCGTGCCGGAGACTATCCCAGTCGACTTTGGCACTAGGCGGGGAACGCCCTCAACCCTTCGCGGGGCACACGTGGCTTCTCACTTTGCCAAAGTGGTATTTTGAACATGTACCGCAGCAGAGCAAACGTTACCTGCAGACTAACTTTGTTCATTTGTGCTCATGCTACATCCGCACGAATGGCGTCTCTTTGCTGAAGCGCCGAATCCCAAAACAACTCGTTCCACCACTTTTGATCTTGACTGAACCCCGAACGAAGACCCACTGTTCCTTCCTTCTAATCATTCCGCAGTGGGCCGTATCAATAAGAGTCTCACTGGCTCCTTTTTATGAAGTGTTTCCAACGCTCTGACGCTAACAACATCCTGTCACGAGTAACGAGTCCGGGCTTTGGGTAGACACAGTGGGTCTCAGATCAACGTACAAAACTGTCTTGTATTGGTGACCGTATCTTGGAAGTGCTTTCTATCTGTGTGTGTGTGTGGATGATATTTGCAGGCCGTCTCGCGCGGCAACATTTTGTGACACAACAAGCTCGCCATTGAGGCCGAAAGACTGGGCGCATGACATCGGATTTAGTTGTCCGCTCGGTGTATTGCGTAACACTGTGTGCTGTGACGACGGAATTTGAGGAATTCTCGGCTTCTCACGCGGGCGGCCACAGAGGCCTCATTGTTGACACGAACAATGGGCGTCATTTGTGAAACGGCCATGCGCATTTTAAGCGCTCCGTAAAACAGACCGCGAGAGTGCGGACGCGTGCGTCGGAATCTCATATGATGTCATGTCATCTAATGCGGCGTTTGGCTCGAAAGGAACGAAGCGAGCGTTTCGCCGAGCCGTTCGGCGCTCCTTCCCGTCATGCGGCCCTCGCTCGGTGAGTCGCCGCAGCCGAGCTGAGGAAGCGGTGCCCTCATTGTCAAATAAGCACGTAGCGGCAAAGAAACAGCAACCGGAACGGCTCCTTTGCACAACGTGCGAAACGGATAACGTTTGCCGACGAGCAGGTGGCGCGCGCAATATTTGGTCACACTGTAACTAGATGGACACGCCCGTAAGAGATACCGATGGAAGTCCCGTGGTGACAAAAGATGAGGTCAGTACTGACTCAAAGCCCGACAAGCCAGCCACCAGATCATTTGGGGCGCTTTCCATACTTTTCCCACATCGCTCCCGTCCGAGCCCACGCGGCACTTGAGACGTTCCCGCACCGATGGAGCGAGTCAAAATGTCTTTTGCTTTTCATTCGTGACAGGACGGTCGACATTCAGGAGGAGGAGGAGGAGGGAAAGTCCAGTCCGCAAGCAGCTGCTTCCACAAAGGCGCTCCCGGCATTTTCCTTCAAAATAGCATCCCCGTTGTGGGTCACGTGACAGGAAGTGAGGTAGGTCTGAAGGGGAAAAAGGGGAACCTCGGCCAGCGGCGTTCCTGTTCCTGTTCCTGTCTTTCCTGTTTGTCTGTTTGGCTCCCTCCCCCAAGCGCTTTTGCTTTCCTGCCCAATCCTGGGAACGGGAATTCAAGAAATAGCCTCGCAACTGGCCAAGTTCTCTTCTCATTTGCCCCAAAATGGCCGCTGACAACAAAAGCGCTGTTTGGTTTTGGCTTCAAATTTCATGACGATCCAGACCAACCGGATGCATGTCAACATGCCGGGAGCGGGTCCCCCAAGGCCGGAAGCTTTGATGCTATAAATAGGCCACAGAATTTGCGCCAAATCAAAGTGAGAGAAAACCAAAGTAGCAACAGGTGCTCCTGGATATGCCCCCCCCATCCCGCCAAACACAGGTGTCACTTGTCTCTGGATTGACGAGTGCCCGATCGCATAGCCGCTCTGCAATGAAAGCGGAGGAAAAACGAGAGCCGAAGCTGCTCAGTGCAAAACACAGCGAGGTGCTTGTGAGCCGGCTGGCTGTGGGGGAGAGGCACAGACGCGATGTCACCTTCTCCCAAACACTCCAATAAATACTCCCACTTTTGCACTTTCTTCCACTTCCGCAACCCTCGGAAGCTCTTCGCGACCAAGTTTGGCTCGAGGCCGTAGGGGGGTTGGAAGGAGATGGGGAGGGGGAAATAATCCCAGCGTTCATAATCCTGCGGAACATCCCCGAGAGGGCAACGATCGCTCTGGACGTGAAGGAGTTCATCCCAAGTGTCTTCCACAAAGGACACGTCGGCCGGAAAACGCATTTGAGACGGAGCTCGAATTGCAAACTCGCCGAGTCTGAAGGGAGCCGTTGGCATCGCCGTTGCAAGCTTTGCTCATTCCGCTCATTCGATGTGTGGAACGTCGGCGTGACAGCGGCAACTGCTTTGGACACCGGGCGGCAACGACGTGGCGTCCTTTCCTTGGCTTTAGATGCAAACGAGGGATTCAGCGCGGGTTAGCCGGGAAAAGCCCACCATCCCGCAACAGCGCCCCGTTCGGCCCGATTCTACGAGCGCCAAATGCCAAAAGAAGTCAAAGTCCATGGTCGCATGTTCAAGGGCAAAGGTCATCTGTGAGACAACATCAGAAGGTGTCAGATGCCCCCGGGGGCCACTTGGACCCCGCAAAGCTCCCAGTTTACCGGTCCAGCTACGGTCCTGCCCTCACCCCCCCGGTCACGAGCTGCGGGTCTCGTTCCGAAGCACAAGATCCCGCTTGCAAGCGGCCGAATGGACTTTGCTCCTCGGGTTGTCCCGGGTCTCCCTTTGAGATCGTGCGAGAAGCTCCGAGTCGAGCCGCCGCTCCTCCGCATCTGCTTTAGGATGCGTCCAGAACGCCTCCCCGCTGAGGTCCTGCCG